CTTTAAGGGTATAATACTGTGAAAGTATTAAAAATATTAGTGAAAGTATTAATAATAAAATTTATTTTGTACTGTACGGAATAAATAGAAGTAACAATAGTAAACATCAATATCAGATTGATGAATTGTTGTTTTACTAGCTTTTGTGAAAGTTAAAGTAAATGACCTTGGTAAAGCGCCATAATAAACCGAGGCTGTTTCTACCTCATAGGTATTGCAGCCAATCATAACCTAAACATTTGCACTAAACAAACTTGTACTCATGTCAAAACATTATCTCAATTTTTGTATATAAATCCCATCCAGACTTTATTTATTTTATTTCTAACTCGTTGCTTGCATTTGATTTTGCACGATATTGTGTCTTTTGATAAAATATTATATTATTGTACTTTTTAGTACAATTTAAATATTATTTATGATTTTTTTAAATGAGAATAATAGTTTAAGTTTAAAATATAATAATTCAGTAAAACAACTATAATTAAAAATGTTTGATAAAAGTTTTGAAAGTTATACAAATTGGTTGATTACAATCGCCATCGGTTTAATAACAGTATATTTAGTAAAATTTTATGCCAAAGTTTATTCCCTACCCCGGGGGCCGTTCCCATTCCCGGTGTTGGGCAATATACTGCGTGAGTATTTAACGGCCACCATGATTAATTAGAATTTTAATTTTAAACATGCTTAATTAAAACTTTTTTAAATAGTGTTCAGAAATACAAAAGTGAATCAATTCGAGACAATCACTGAATTGCATAAAACCTATGGACCGGTGTATACGCTATGGTTGGGTTCGCAGCCTTTGGTCTCCATTTCTGACTATAATTTAGTTAAAACCGGATTTAACTCAAAGAATAATGAACTGATGGGAAGAAATAGAATTGGTTTCGCAAAAATACTACTTCAGGGCGGATGTGATGTCGTGTTCACAGATCACGGGCCAGTTTGGGCCAGTCTTAGACGTGTCGCACACTCGGCGGTCAGGTATTTGAATGAGCATTGAATTTATTGTGATTGCAATTATCTATAAATTTAATATGAATTACATTATGATTAGAAAACTAGCCATAAGTGAGAGGTTGTCTGATTTGGTGGACGATGTCGTCGACGAGACCGTACAGACCATGAAGAAGACACACCCGATTGGGACACCATTTAATCCCAAGAGTTTTATTTACGCCAATGTAGTCAATATAATCGCTTCGTCCACTTTCGGCAAACGGTATGCTTTTAACACAAAACTTAAACTAAAAATTATTCAAACAATTAATTATTTTATTTAAAACTTAATAACAATTAGGTATCAGTTCGAAGACGAAGAGCTGAAGTTCATTGAGAATAGCTTTGAATGCTTCAGAGCCAACACTACTGATCTGGTTCTTGTGGATCAGATGCCTGTCCTCCGACTCGTCCCGAAATACGCTAAAACTGCGGCCAAAACTATACAAACACTTGAGGCGATGACCACTAGAGTTAAACAGCAATACTTGTCTCGCCTGACGACCCATTCCTCGGGTGTCGTCAATGACTTCTGTGACGCTCTCATTGAGGCTAAAGAGGAGGCCATTCAGGAGGCGAAGGAAAGCGCCGCCGCTTTGACAGACCATAACCTGTCACTCGTTATTATG